CTGTCCACCCAACACCTTTTCCACTGCTTCCAGATACACCAGCTGGTCTAACAAACGCTATTGCCTCTCTCTACAAATACAGCCTCATCATCTGAATAATACTTTCAAAAGGTGTCTGGACGTGATCCTGGTCAACATGCTCTAGAGGACCCTGCTTGAGCAGGGGGGTGGGACTAGCTGATCTCCAGAGGTCCCTTCCAACCTCAACCAGTCTGTGATTCTGTGACTGGATTCCTTCCCATTCTGTCTAGGGTGGAAGAAAGCTGAACTTTTCTTCAAGGTGCTGGATGTTTTATCCAGGCTACCTTTTTTCCTTCTTGTGTGACTGTGTACTGGGAGGCCAACTGCTTCTTTTCTGCCTTCCTGCTCGGAAGAAGGGCAGGGAGTTTTGTAACCCCAGTAGCTATTACCACGGGTGTGTTTCAGGTGACGTGTAGCTCTTAGTGGGTTATCTGAGGGCTGTCCAGAAATGCATCAAGCCATGTCGTTCATGTTTCTCACAAATGCTTCCTTTTCTTTTCTCTCTTTCTATACCTAATTATTATTTTTAAGGTTGGAGTAGCACCTATGGTTTGGAATTGGGGAGGTTTATTCTTGATGCTTGCAAGATTTTATTCCCTTTCCTAGGTCTGACTGCTGAGACGACCTTTAGACAACCCTTAGAGAGGCTGAGTGCTTTCGAAGTAAGAAAAGAAGGAGCCACTTAAACAGCCTGGCACCTTCTTGGATCCTGTGCATCCCCCAATCTGCCTTTTTGTTTCTGGCCTCCGTTTGGAAATTTTTATGCCACCGTTTGGCAGTGTGTTCAGTTACGCTCACCGGAACTGCCCGGGCTGATGTTTTCAGGCTTCTTCCACTTGTCGCTGCTTCCAGCTTCTTTTCTTCTGCATGGAAAGACAGCAGAGATTAGCCATGGTTCCCTAGAACAATGTAGTGTGATGTGTGTTGTTTTTTGTTTGTCTCCTACCAGGGTTTTGTAGGCTTTCTAGGACAGAAGTGGCGAGAAGATTTCTTATCATAAAGAATGGGACATTTACTGCAGTTTGCTTTATAAATCAACAATGTCCATTTAAAACAATTGCCTTGGTCTTTAACCCCTCAATTTACTTGAGGCTGGAGAAGGGCAAAGTGCCACACATTGTATTGCATCATCAACATCCAGGAAAAATCCTGGGGAGCTGCGAGTGAATGAGTAGTACACTTGCTTCCTGGCTGGGATGATTTCCCCAAGTACTTGGGGGAGGGGGGAAGCAAAACTAAAATTACTTTGGTGTTGTGCAACTTCCTCTCCCAGCCAGTAGTCTACGTGTGGGAAAGCCATAGCTGACTGTGGGTTTTTTTTTTTTTTCCCCCTCCCCTCCTCTCCAGGACTTATACGCAGCTTGCTGAGTTGCTCAGGCTGATGCAAGAAATATTGGCTTTCTAAATCAGATTTAGAACAATGTTTTCTTGCCAAGTGACTCTCTGAGGCCAGGAAGAGACTATTGCAGCTGCTGTGGTTCTGATTAAACCAACTGCACCGTAGCCGTTTTTCTGATTTTTTAAAAGCAAGGAGTTTCTTTGAGTTCTGTAATCTTTGGCGGCATTATTATTGCTTTATTGGTCCCTTAAGCAAGTGCTAGCTCTCACCTCTACGCCATGCTGCCAGGAGTGATGTACTGAAGAGGCTCGTGTCGAATAAGAACCTGAGCAGGGAGTGTGTATGGCTCATTTCTGTTATAATGGATCCTGCACCTTGCTGGACTTGGTCCTGATACAATTACACAGCTCACAGAAATTTGTATCTGATGTGTGGGCATGGCAAAGGGCTGTGGGTTTCTTGTTTGTTGTTTTGTATGTATGTAACAGTCTATTTGAATGTGTCAGTCATCTCTAATCTTTAAAAAGATGGAAGTGTTCATGAGATGCCTGCTATTCTGACATAAATAAACTCTTAAAATATCAGTGTATGTTAGAGGAAAAATAATCCAGAATAAAACTGCTTCTCCCCAGTCTATAAGGCAACAAGTACAGGACAGATCTTACCTATAAGCATCAAAACAAACTCAATTGTGCTGGATTGGCAGAGAATTTAATGTTTAATTCCAGTTAAACTTAACTGGTTGTCCCTCTGGTAAAAGGAAAGAAGATTCTGAACTGAAATATTTTATTGTTTGCGATGTTAAAAGGTACTAGCTAACTTCTCATGTGAACTTTCTTATCCAACAGGTCACTGGTTATTTAGATGACTGCACCTGTGATGTAGAAACCATTGATGCCTTCAACAACAACAAGCTTTTTCCTAGACTGAATGAACTTCTGGAAAATGACTATTTTAGATACTACAAGGTAACTTTTTTCAAAACAGAACTGTGTGTGTTTTGTGTGTCACTTTTTTTAATCTCTTTAAAAGTTATTGCTGGTCTTAAAATCAGATACCCCATTTTAATCCTAATTTTTCAGAGTACGGTCAGTAAGTCTGACTTTTCTGCTATCAAGAGAATCTTATTGTGATGTCAGATGCTTATAAAATAGACTAGATAATTTTAAAGATATTTTCTTTTTTTTCTTTGCTCTTGGGAACTCAAGCAGTAGGCCAGTGAAATGCTTTGTTTTGCTGACTTATGGCTCAAATGTTGATGACTAGGATCAATATTGCGTAATGAGAATGTCTGATAAATAAGCCAGGCTTTTCATGTTAATGGGAAGACACTTAAGAACAAGCAGATGAATTAATCGCTGTTACTGCCATACTGTTGTTGTTAGATGGACTCTGCTCCCATTCAGTGAGATTGCTCATATATGCCTATACGTGGGGTTTGGGTGCAGTGGGGTTTTGGAGCAGTATTTTGCTTGCTGAACGCAGACACTGTTCAGGGACTCTTACCTGATCGTGTCTGCGGTCAAAACAGGTGTTCACGCTTCTGTAAGAACAGTTTTAAAAGTTCCCAACTTCACGGCACTACAAAGTAGAAGAGATCCATACAAAATCACTGGGGTAAAACTGCACCTCCCTGCTGCCCCTCCAAACCTATAAAGCCTTGTTAAATGTTAGTTGCTCTAGAAGAGTGATACTTGATACCAACTCACAGAAAAGCAAGACTAAGGTATGTTCAATACACTTTACAAAGAGCTGTGCTGAGCTGAGATGTTCACAGTTGTGCCCCAGCACCTTCAGTCATTACTTCTCGGACTTGAGGTAGCTCAGGATGTTGTGGGGAATGGGACCTGTTTGCTTTGCCTTTTTTTTTTTGCGATGTTCACCCTGTACAGAGATCCAGCCAAAGGCTGTTCCGCAGGCCTAGAGTCCTTAGCGCTAGGCTAAATCTTATCATAGATAAGACTTGTTACAGAAGTTAATGTCCTCTCCCTTTGCAATGTTGAGATGTGTAACAAAAATATTAAGATTGGTCTGAAAGAAATATGAATGGAAATGTCTGTGTGTGAAAGCACCAGGAGAAACAAAAGAGCAAGGATTGAAAGAACAGCCTGTAGTGATAACCAAGGACATGAGTGACAGCAATCACACCAATAAGCGCCAAGGGATTTGTTGTTCCCATCAGGCCCAGAAGGCTTGCACACCAAGTCCAGAAAAAAGATATTTGACAGCAGAAGACCTGCGCTCTGGCCATGGGAGGATGGCAAAAAGATTACAGCACATCACATATGCTATCCTCTTCTTGTTCCTCCAGATGGGAGGCAGGGTGCAATTATAAGACCTCCAAAATGAGAAAACTGAGACAGCAGGTAGCAAACTTAACCAAACTTTGCTTTCACAGAGGACGAAGTGAGTGATATTCTGAGGTCAAAGACTGCCCCACCATTACTGTTGGCTTCTAAAGGGTACAAAATGTTGTAGCACGTGACTGACCAAAGAAGTTTGTCACTGCCCAACAAGAGCCTCGAGATAGGATGAGGATTCAGTAGCCAATGTGCCTTGTCTTCTGTGTCACCACAAAGAGTCCTGGCCGGACCGCAGGGCATATGTCTGGTATAAGAGAATGAGTGTGAATGACTGAAATCAGTTTTGTTTAAATGTCACTTTCCTCTTCCCCTTTATCTTTCGCTGTCTTCCTCAGGCTTTTATTATGAGTTTTGTTAAGTGGTGTACCAAAACACTAAGGGTGTGTCTGGTAGACTGTGGCTGGCAGTTGGTTTGACTGTATGACAAAATGTGTAATAGCATAATATGTTCCTTGAAGGTAAACCTAAAGAAACCTTGTCCTTTTTGGAATGACAGCAGTCACTGTGGAATAAGAGATTGTGCCGTAAAGCCTTGCCCATCTGTAAGTACAAAATCTATTTGCTTACCTCTTTCATGTATTCAGCTTTTGTGGACCAAGAGGGAGAAATGGCCAAATTACTTAGTCTCCTGGCTATTGTAGCTTTAGCAAAACTGTGGCTCTGATGGAGCTTTCTTAGATGCAGTAGTACTGAGATCCATGAGAACAGCTGAAATGCCAAGTTCTTCAGGTTTAAAGAGAGACTGAGCTTTTAGTAGCTGACCCTCCGCGAACTGCCAAAAACTTGTTCTGGTCCCTCTTTTATTAGGAACATCAGTGAAATGATTTTTCAGGCAAATCCACTATTCTTACAAGAAGTACCTCTTGTGTGAATTGCCTGGATACTCACTCTGCTAGCCTGTGAGCAACACTGTGATTTGCTTTTTTGGCTGATGAATGCAGACCAGCCCTTGCAGATTTTCCAGCAGTCTCCATAACGTTAAATGGCTCTTTCAGACTCGTCTGTTCTCCAGTACAAAAGCAGACGCTCTTGTGTTTGCATCCTGGACAAAATACTAGAAATTTTGCATGCACTGAACTAAACGGAAACATCTTGGCTGGAGAAATCTGCCTGAAAAAAGGGAGAGAGAAAGTGAGTGAATTAGAAGTTGGTTGCCGGTTTGATAGACCTACCGAGAATGCCACGCAGCCTGGTTTTCCCTAGTTGGTTACCAGCAACCAACTATCTTGCACTCTCAAGCTTGGGTCTTTAGAGTAGTTTGTGTGCCCGGCGACAGGACAAGAGGCAACGGGCACAAACTGAACCACAGGAAGTTCCGTCTGAACCTGAGAAAAAACTTCTTGACTGTGAAGGTGACAGAGCACTGGAACAGGTTGCCCAGAGAGGTGGTGGAGTCTCCTTCCCTGGAGATATTCAAAACCCGTCTGGACGTGATCCTGGTCAACGTGCTCTAGAGGACCCTGCTTGAGCTGGGGGGTTGGACTAGCTGATCTCCAGAGGTCCCTGCCGACCTCAACCAGTCTGTGATTCTGTGTTTGTGGTGCACAGGAGTATGCCATGCTAACAGATATTAGGATCAGGAACCCTCTTCCATCCATAGTACTACTGTATTTTCCTACTTTCCTTGTATTTTTCAATGTCACTGTAGTTTATTTTCACACATGATTTAAAGTATGATGCCTTGGAAGCAGATGTTTACCCCCCCCCCAACTTGATAGTCGGACATAGTGTAGCTGTTAGCTTGTTTCAAAAAAACATCTAAGCTGTTATGACATCTTGAAACAAGCTGGCACAGGTGGATGAAAAACCATCATTTGTTGTACAAATTCTGATATTTGTGTTGAATTCATTTGTACTCCTTCTCCCTCTCTGCCAAATTACCCTACCCCTCAAACAATTCTTTTGTTTCGCTAGTCTCCAGGAGATACCTACCATGAACTAAAACAGAATGATGGCTTTTAGTTTTGTTTTTGATTAAAAGGATCCCAAGTTTTGTTAAATACTTATTTTTTTCATTAAAAAGGATGTTTTGGATAGTGATGATGACTTATGTGAAGGTGTAATGTTGCAGTTACATTAATATTAGCTGGAATATGTTCTTAATTTAAATGTGCATTGCTGCTGGAGTCCACTTACTGACTGTGCCACTGCTGGTTTTAATTATTTTGCTTGGGATCCATTTAATTCTGAAAGCAATAAAAATAACCTTTGCTCATTGTGGGTTCCTCCCCTCCGATTGCAAATACTACCATCGTGAATGAATTTTGCCTCCTAGCACTCCTGCAGTGCAGAACCAGTTTTATTGCCTTCCTATTGATGGAAGAAGTGGAAGCTGAAAAGAACTTGGAGCCTGATTGTCTTGCGCTGTATGGGGCTGGGAAGCCTGAAATGGAAAAAAAGCTTTTGAATGACTTGTATCAAGGCTGGGAGCTGCAATATCTGAAAAGAGGCATCTGGGCTTGTGCCAGGAAGGTCTGCATCACCTGGAGACAGGATGCCAGATATCAGCTGATGGGAGGGAGGAGTTTCCAGCTCCTCCAAAATTTATATTGGCTTCACTAGCCTTATGCTTGAGTACGCAAAACATAACCTGACATAGCACCCGTGAAAGGCTGCTGACCTGTTCAGAAGAGGAGTCTTGCGAAAAATCACAATAAACAAACACTGAGAATGTTGCTTAACGTTAGTCTCTGGAGGAGCCAGAAATCAAATGTGTCATAAGTTTCAGCTGAGTGGTTGAATACCTTCTAACTTTTAGGAACTGTGGTAAACTTCTCTTTTTTTTTTTTTTTTTTCCAGAGATTAGACTAAAAAGCCCCATCAGCCTCACAGGTAGCATGTACTCAATTTTGTCTTTCAGAATGAAGTCCCTGATGGAATCAGATCTGGAAGTTTTAAGGTGAGCGTGTCTACATGCACAAAATGACACTGGTTACAGGACTAGTTTTGTGTCAAATCCAGCTGTTTAAAAAACAAAACAAACAACATTAAAAACAAAACAAAAAACATTACTTCGCACCCGAATAAGAAGGTGGGAAGTAATGGTCAGGATGTATTTCATGGCTAAAATTGTACCCTCTTCAAGTGTTTAGCATACAATAGAGCCTTGAAGTGAGTGTCCTGAAGTTGGTTCTTCCCCTCTGCTAATGTAGGATAGTTTGGGAGACTTTTTTCCAAGAGCAAACGTCCTATTTAGGCACAAAATGCTCCTCTGGCAGTGTTGGAGGCTGTTGCAAGTCCCAGCAACAACTGCCACAATTGCATAAGCTTCTGAATATCTGCAGACATCCTGTGGAAATGCAGGATGGGATGAATCATAAGTGTTTCTGATGCTTAGGCTATTTAGTGTGTTAAAGGCAGAATTCTAACAGTGGTAAAAATGCTTTTTAATCCTTCCTCCCTACCCCACCCCCTGACTTTTCAACTCAGTATTCAGAAGAAGCCAATAACCTTGCTGAAGAGTGTGAAGAAGCTGAGAGACTTGGAGCTGTTGATGGGTCTCTGAGGTTTGTCGTCTTTTTCCACAATCCTTCCTTTTCTTGAAGGAAACCTGATATCAAATGTCCTTTCCAATAGTCTGTCTCTCCCCTTTGCAGTGAGGAAACCCAGGAGGCTGTCCTTCGGTGGACGCGGCACGATGACTCTTCAGACAGCTTCTGCGAAGCTGATGGTATAGGGACCTATTTGATGTGACAAATTTTGTAATGTGATTTAAGCGCTTTAAATTCCCTGCAGAACTTCCAGGCCAAGGTGTAACTGGCAAGCCTGCAGCATATGTGGCATTGCTACTCTCTCTCTCTCAGTGTTTTGAAAATAATGTGAGAAGTAAATGTTCCTGACAAAGCTTCTTTGCTGGTCAAGGTCTTGTGGTGTTTAGCAAGTTAGCAACTTAGATGGAGCATGCTCGGTGTTAGCTGTGCCATCAGTGGCCTTGCCCTCTGATAGCACTGAAGGGCAGAGAGCTGTGCCCTGCTGTAACGGGTTGGTGTGCAGGAAATACTGTGTATGTGCCTTTTAGGAGAGGGACTGGTCTCTTTAGAAGACTGTTTAGTATGTGAAGGGGTGGCTGGATTGGCACTGGAAGGCGTCATTTTTCCATCAGAAGCTTTTGTCACTGACCAGCACTCTGTTTTACAGACATCCTTTCTCCTGATGCAGAGTATGTGGACTTACTGCTGAATCCTGAACGCTATACTGGCTACAAAGGACCAGATGCCTGGAAGATCTGGAATAGTATTTATGAAGAAAATTGTTTCAAGTAGGTGCTTAGGGAGACAGGTTCCACGAGCCATCAAGCACCTGCAGGTGCTGATTTTTGCAGAGGGACTGCATGTGTTTTAATCACTCCATCACCCCCATCCTCTGCTCCTTGCAGCAGTGCTTGTTCCGTGTGGGCTGTCGGAGCAGGGAACAAGCTGCGTGGCTGCCCTATGGCTGGGGGGCGAGCCCTCCTTGCTGTTCCTTGTATCACAGTCTTGTCGTGGTGCAGGCTTCCGATTCAAGCCCCGCAGCGTGGCGAGGCAGCAGCCTGCCAGGAGGTGTACATCCGTTGTGTAACGTGATCCCGGTCACGTAGTCCTGTCCTCCCTGGCCAGTGCACGCTGGTGGCTCAGCTGAGTTGAACTCTTCTCCCCGGTCTCTAAGCAGAGTTCAGACTCTGCTTTAGGGTTGTCCTGGTGTCGCTGTACGGTACTGGTGGGCAACTGATCTGTAACTGTAGTCTTGCTTGCTGTGATCTCTTCCGTGATCCTCCCCATTCGCAACAGTGCTTCTTCTAGCATCAAGTCTGTGGCATAATGTCTGCTTGCACTTGTATAGACATGTGAGTTTTCCTGGTTACAGAGAAAATTCTGTAGCTTTTTCTTCTAAGAGAAAGCTACATTTCTCTCTACCCTTTTCCTGACTGAGCAAAGTTAAAGCACAGGAGTTCTTCGATCTCCTTAGGCTGTGTGACTGCTGGGAGGTAGGTTTCTGCACAGCAATGAGACAATCACTTACATTACTTAAATCACTTTTCTTCCTTAGGCCTCAGACTGTAAAAAGACCTCTGGCATCTGGTAGAGGTGAGTCATTTATTCATCCTGCTAAATGGTTTGGTAGTATGCTGATTTGAGCTCCAGGAACAGTAAATGTTATCTGAGCTGCTTCTACTTAATGAGAAATGTCTTGGCTCTCGATCGAGTCTGGAATTTTATGGATAATATAAAGGGCACCTGGAAGGATGTCTTTCTGGCATTCATCGTGTGGAAAGGGAGTCTGATTTGCTACTTGTAGAAGAGATGGGAGCTTTGGTGGGACTAGGAGCAGGACTGAACCTTGAGCTCTTCCTGGGCACCGGATTTCTGTGCTCACAATGTCAAAAGCATCCATGAAGGTCTGAAGTAAGACCCTGCTCAGGATCCTCTTTGGAAACCAGCTAGTAAGAGAAACTCTGTGCTAGTAGCTAAGACCAAACAGAGTAAATGCAAGTAGGGAAGGGATTTGAAAGCATAAAGGGTTTATTGCCCAAGGCTGCTAAGAGCCCCCACATCTCCTGATGCCCCTTCCTGCCCGGACATCTAGAGCATGCTGCCTTGCTCCTCCTTTGTTTGACCTGAACCCTCTGGTGTGTCATGCCGTGTTGTTTAAGCCCAGGAGAAGCTTGTTCAAAAGCAACTCTCTGAAGACCAATCCAGCAGTGCCTTCTGTGGTTATCCCTGAATTTTTCCTAGGTTGTGTAGGTGTTTTGCCCCATTCTTTGACTGACCCTTGTGCAAAGGAGCAGTGCTCCAGGAGCAGCTCTGGTGAAGGGAGTATACAATGGCAATTAAAATATTAGTGCTTCCCTTGATGACTTCTGTTTGGTGCAAGATAAAAGAAATAATGTAGGTTCCCTGAGAGGACAGGGAAGGACTGCTGTCCTTCAGATGAGGAAGCAGGAGGACAAAAATAGATGATCTGACCTAATGCCTGTCAGAGTTGCTGCTAGTGACTATATATACTGCAGGAAGTAGGGATGGAGTCTTTGAGTAACCTGCCGGAGGTCATACAGGAGATCTGTGGCAGAGAGGTAGACAGTTGCATTCTCTGTTCTACGGTCTCTGCTTCAACTTTTACTTCCTTTGCAAATATTGATCCATTCTGTGCTGGTCAGGTTATTCAGGAGCATTGCTCACCTGGTATCTTTACCGCCTGCAGTTTGAGATGCTATTTTGTGTATTTAGAATAATTCTAAACTCTGGAGGTGCTTGTTCTCTTGTCAGAGCAGATCAAGAGAAATCTGAATGGTTGTGCTTCAGAGTTTATTTTTGGTCACGTGTAATTTTTATCTCCTCTTTTCTCCCTCTCCCCTCCCTCCCATGCTTTTCTCTTCAGGAGATGACGGAGGTGAGTAGTACTGTTTTTTCTGATAACAGAAACAAATGCAGATTCTTTATTGTGTTCTGTCATGAGCTGTAGCATTAGAGTAGTGCACCTGGCTAGCAAAATCATTGTGCAGGCAAAGTCAGAAGTGGTCTTGAAATTCTGCTGCATTCAGGGCCCTGTGGAGAGATCCCTCTGAGCTCCGTGTTCCTGAGGCCAGCCCACCCTTGTGTGGATGTTACAAAAAGGAATCTGCAGGTTTTTTTTGGAGCACAAGTCCCGTTTGAAGATCAAATCACTGAAGTGTCCAGTCTTCAGGAATAAGACTTACCATTGTGTTTCTCGGTATATGTTAGTGCTAATTCTGGTGTAGCAGAAAAGCATCTTTGAGGGAGAACTGGCCATTACATAGGGAGCTTTCCAAAGAACTGCAGTCCCAATAGCCTCTGGCATCTGGTAGGAGTTGGGTGCCTAATTTCCTTTGGCCCTTCAGGGCTCAAGTCTGGGAAGGGCAGTGCCCTGGAGCTTTTTGCCCTCTGCAGCACTGGGTCTGTGTGTGTGACGTGTCTTCCTGTCTCCAAATTATTTCCAAATCATTCTGTCGTCTCCAGATTATTTTCTACCGTGTAGCAGGGTGTTAGCACAAAGCACTGGCTTGTGTGATTGTACATACTTGGTTGAACTCTTCTATTTCTTTTTCTTAATAATAAAAATATCGCTTTCCCCACCCTGGCCAGAAAAGGAAAGCAAACTGTGGTCCTAGCCTCCCCCTAGGCCATGGCATTCTGCAGTGCTTTTGCCCCACAGCTCTTGCTGAGATGGGTGGGAAACACCATGTGCTATCTCTAACTGCTGGCAAAGTGAGTCTCAGAAGTGTCAGCCGCAGGAGTGGGGAGGAAAACTATTTTCATGCTCTTCTAATGCTCCTCTCCCTCATTCGGCAAACTGGAGCGGACAGAGTTCCTCTAGGGTCTGACATCAGAGAGAGCTTTAGGGCATCAGGCTTGGCTGTGGGAACAGCCCTCCTGTGCTGCAGCGGGGAATGCACTGGTTTGTCACATTAGTTCCCTGTTCCTGCCCTCCTCTGAAAGGTGTGGCCAGGGAGGTAGCCTAAAACATGACACAATATGTTAGAGCCCTCCTGCTAGCACAAGCTCTTTCACTCATGTGCTCGTTTTCCTTTTGTTTCCAGGGCATACGTTTTACAACTGGCTGAAAGGTAATTCTTTTTCTAAACTTGGTTGCTCCTCTAAGGATGAATGCAAAATAGCCAGGGTGCGGGTGGGAATTATTTGTCACACTTAAGTGAGATTAGATTTCTGTCTGACAGGCAGGAGAGGAAAACTCAACGTACGCTTTCAATATCTTGAAATGTCTGGTTTTTTTCAGGTGTTTGCGTAGAGAAACGAGCTTTCTACAGGCTTATTTCTGGTCTCCATGCAAGCATCAACATTCATTTGAGTGCCAGGTACCTTTTACAAGGTAAGTGCCACTTTCTGTGGTGACTCTCTGGTGTCAGCTGTAAGTTGACACTGGAGTTTAACTTCTGTGGCTCAGCTAAACACCAGCTGAAGCTCATTCCAGCAGGGTTTGGGCTTACTTCTATTGTTCTTCTCTTCCCTTCCTCGGCACACAGGTAGCCACTGGTTGTATAATGCAATCAGGAATGCAGTTACCACATGACTTTAGATCTGAAAAGGGCTGGGCTGTGCTCCTTACCTAGACCTCCAGCTTGCGTTCCTTTTGGTCTTCCTCCAAGCTTACTTTGGAGCACATCGTTTTCCATGTGCCTATCAGGCTGCCTCTTTCTAGCCTGTCTCTGACAGTTTAGCAGTAATCTCTCCTAAACTGTGAGATGCTTGGCTGGGATTTTCCAAGATCCTTGAGCGGTTTCTGTATGCCACTTCTATTTCCTTTGCGTGCCTTTGTCCACAATTCGCTACACGAAGTATTGTTGTAGTTCTAAGTGGTACCTGTGGACAAGGCCTACCAGCTTTATTCTGTTAAAACTTGCAAAAATCAAATACAGGCGACTTTTAAATTTAAGATAACTGTAGGAATTTACTTAGTTAAATCTAAATTACTTATCCAATTAGATTTAAGTCTCTACGGACCCAAAGGCCTCACCTTGATGTAAGTTACACTATGTTAGACCTAGAGGAGATAAAATAACAAGAGAAACATCAAAGGTAAGAGATGACTTGGGACTCTGCAAAAAAGAGGATTAGGACATCAGCTTGGCTACAGATAGACAAGCAAAGACACTTATTTTACTTATGCAGAATGGGATACTTTCTGTTGGTGAAAGGCTAGAGAAAAAAATCTCTGCTCTGAGAAGGTGTTCTTCCTCTGTTCAGCTCGGATCTGGGCAGACATTCCCATCATAGATGCCATGATATCCCTGTAGATTGCTTAGCTCCTGAAACTGAAAGACAGGAAAGAGTCCTTCCCTGCTAGGCTGGTCATCTATTGGCAATTTAGAAGTTAAGATCTTCTAAAGCTTCTTGTATTTTTCATTTTAATTCATCAGGTTGATATGACTGTATTATAACTTACTTCCACTACATACTGTACATAATTAGACAAATGAGCAACAGAACCATGCTGTGAAAGCCTCTTCTGTCTGGGGCAGGCTTCTTGAAACCTCTTGATTCCTGGGTCAGTGGGCTGTTGAGTTTCTGCCCATCTCCTGGGATGGTGGCACAGCTGTTCTCCACTTCAGCTGCCCCACCGTTTATTACTGACCCAGCAGCAGTCTGAGCAAAGATGCTGGCCTGCACTGAAGCCTGGCCACGTGTGCACTCTGCTCTGCTCTCGGGGTGGCAGGTCCCAGTGAGGACAGGACCAAGATCTTGGCATGGTAAACCACTGCAGCAGGGTTTGCCAGAGCTTCTCTGGCAGAGCCTTTGTCTGAGGGAACCCTGAGATTTCTCTTAGGTTGTTTAGTTATCTGTAAACAACTCTGAGAATCACGGAAGAGGGATGAATATGGGCCCAACTTCAGGTATTTCGCTGTGCTCCCTAAGTTACGATCCTTGTCACCCTGCTCCCTGCGTATTCAGTGGAGAGGGGCTGGTAGAGCTTTTTTAGAGAGGTTTTCACATGTCCCAGTGAAGTAGGAAGGCTCAGCTCTGACAGCTCTTCATCCCATCCTGCATACATTCCCCCAGCTGCAAGACAGTGGTCACCCCCCTCTTAGGGTGAGCGTGTGGCACGTGAGCAGAGATGCCCAGGCAGTCCCTGGCGGAGCTGCTGTCAGAGTGACGCTGAGCAGTGCCGTGTAGGGGGTGCAAGCAGTGTATCTGTGTTAGGACTGTGCCCTGCTCGAGTGTGTCAGCACTTCACTGCACTGGCCTTGTGGCTAGCTTGGATCTCTACCTCACAGTGTACAGCATACGCCCTCCTGGTTTAGACTGTAAACAGTCTCCCTTGCCTAAATCTTCTGTGAGCTTGATAGCAGAAAATACAGGCCTATCTCCTCTGATTCTTGGCTGCTTTCTTTTTCTGCTGCACTGCCTCCCTAGAAGGAACTTTCTTGAGGCCCTCATGTTCATTAGGGAGTTCCCCAGCCTCTGATTTGCACGCTGGCTCCTGCTGCAATGTAATCAGGAGGTCTGGGCTGTCTGCCTTTGCAGACATTCGGACCAAAGCAGTGAGACCTCTTATGACTTCTGCAGCAAGTCAGTGGTTAGCTTTTGAGGGCAGGAATGACGGAAACGAAGGGCTCTGGGACCTTCTCAGCCTGTCCGGTACATCCACGTTGCCCTTGTTACTTGCAGACAAAACTGCTCTCGGAAACAGTCAGTTCAACTGATGGAAAACTCTTGAACTAACTTAATTCTGTTTAAAATGGGTAGTGTCTATTTTTGGCTTTTGCTTGTAAACATGAGCGATATTTTTGACTGACTTAATGTCTGTGGGAGTTCTGCATCTCTTGGGATTTTAGTTTAGCTAAAAAGACATGCCTCTCGGCACTTGAGCAATTTTGGGAGAATAAAATCGCTGTGACTATTGTAAGTCTTGGACCTCCTTGGATAGAGTTATGTTTCATCATCTAGTTTGGGACAGTGGGATGAGATCAGCTAGAACTATAACCATTTACCTTATTTCTCTCTGTGTGTGTGTGGTGTTCTGTTTTGGTTTTTTGCTATCTCAGATACCTGGTCAGAGAAGAAATGGGGCCCCAATGTTACAGAGTTCCAGCAGAGATTCGATGAAGTCCTTACCAGAGGGGAAGGTCCCAGGAGACTCAAGAACCTGTATTTCCTCTACCTGATAGAGCTGCGGGCCCTATCCAAAGCATTGCCGTTCTTTGAGCGCCCGGGTTTCCAGCTGTACACAGGAAATAAAATTCACGATGCAGAAATCAAAGACCTGTTGCTGGAAATTCTCCATCTGGCCAAGTAAATACATTCGGTACCTGGGGAGAATGGCTCTTTCAACCTTGGCGGCTCTGAGCACGCTTAACCTTTCACTTAAAGCACCTAGGAGGGCAGGTTCTGGGTTCTTTCTTGTAGTGGGATAACATGATTTGTGCAGTAGGATAGTGCTGTTGGTAGTACATTGGTATCTGAATTCACATTGCAAAACAGGGTAATTAAGCCCACAGTTGAATGGCTTAGGCTGCCTTTTTGATTTAGCAAATTTGATTTAATAACCACCTATGTGTCAGCCTTGAAACTGGCTACCAGTTTGACTGACCCATGGAATGCCAGTCCTGGCTTCATATTTTTGTCTAGAAAAAATTCTAAATGCTTTGGTAACAGGGATTTGGGCTATTGGACAGAGTTGGGAGTAAGAGAATGCAGGACAGCAAACCAGATTCAAATAGCTGTCTCCTAAAGCACGTTTGAATTTATCTTGTCGCTTTCCCATGCCTTCAGTGCCTGTGTCTGTTAGAAAACAGATTACAATTGCTTAGAAACCATAGAGCGATAGCTGAAAATCTCTCTAAGGTGAGATACAAGCTAAAATGGAGAGCCCCTAAGAGATTTAAGAAACGGAGCTTACACCTAAACATTTGGAGATGTTAGGCGTCTAAGACCTATTGATTTCATCTGCATGCCTAACCAGATACTTCTGTGGACCTGGACTTAAGCCATACGATCTGTAGAAAGATAAAACTCTTTTTAATTTTTTTTTTTAATTCCATTTCAGGTCTTTCCCTCTGCATTTTGATGAAAACTCATTTTTTGCAGGGAATAAAAAAGAAGCTGCTAAACTAAAGGTAACTGTCCACCCCTTCCCTTTGGGGCCCTTGCTGAAAGAATATTCAAGCTTGTGTCTGGAATAATACTAGATCTGACAGGGACCTCGGTATGCTCAAGGTACCAGATCGGATATTTCTTACTCATTTTGCTTTCTGAATGGTTTGGATGTTGGTGAGGAGGTAGAGATCTTAGGGCGCACCCTAAGGAGAGCGGTGAATTGCTGCTGAGGACCCCATTTTGGGAAGCATAACACTAACTCAGTCTGACTGAATTTAGCCTGAGGTCTAACAGTAATGCACTACTGGATTTGTTTAAATTAATGCATGGAAGAAGTCCTAATTAGTGTTAAACCATGATCAACTTTAAATGTCTTTTCCCCTAGGAGGAATTTAGGCTACATTTTAAGAATATTTCTAAGATAATGGACTGTGTTGGCTGCTTCAAATGTCGCCTCTGGGGGAAGTTGCAGGTAAGTTTCGTCAGCAATTTGGTACAGGTCTGGAAACATCTCATCTGATGGGATTCTGGTGTGCAGATGCAGCTCCTAGATACTAATGCGCTCCCACCTACAGATCAGAGCATCTTTAGGCTTTACTGAGGTCCATTCAGCAGAAGGTAATGACTGGAGCTGCACATAGCCTTTACAGCTGAGAACTGGGCTAAGACACTGCAGCCGCTCCCTGAGTCTAGAGCGCGGAGCGGGTTCAGAGCCTCTGACTAGCAAGGCAGAGGGTCCCATGCAACTGCAGGTTTGGCGAGATCTGCAGTGAATTTGCATGTGGTCCCAGCAGAGGATTCCTGCCTACACTTGGTAGTTCTGCTACCAAAATGAATGCCAGATAAATAAAGTGTCCTGGCTTGGTTTTGCTTCCTTCTCTGAAGTGTGTGTGTTAAGTGAAACCCAAGTCTTGCGTTGTTAAGATGATGTCAACAGGAATCCTTGCAAAGAAGATGCAGGGAAGTAAAGTTAAATCTGTGAGTCAGACTCTGGATGTCTGCCCTTTATTAAATGGCCTTGTTTGTCATACGCAGACTCAGGGCTTGGGTACAGCATTGAAGATCCTGTTTTCTGAAAACCTGATAGAGAAGATACCTGAAAGTGGCCCTTCCTATGGATTCCAGCTGAGAAGACAAGAAATTGTTGCTTTATTTAATGCTTTTGGAAGGTTAGTTTGAGACTTCTTGATTCTCTCCAGCTTTATGTATGCTGTTGTCTTGCACCCCATTTAGGCTTGAACAGCTCAATTCTGACCAGCAGCGTTGGCGTTAACTCCTGCTCTGGTCATACTTGCTCATGAAGAAGCTCCCAAATGTCAGGTGCTTTTAATGCAGAGTGCAATAGTTGGAAAAGCTGGAAACAACTTCTTTGTAATCCTCATTTCTATGAGGACTTAAGCAAGTGCTCACATGTCCTGAGAGCACATTGTCCTCAAACAGAGGTTGCTGTTCTTACTCATTCTATGCTCAGTTTAAATCTCCCCTTCAGGCTTCTAATTTTCACCAGTTTAGTTTCAGATCCTCATTTGTCATAGTTGTATTTAACAGGAATCTATCAGTCTAGCCCGTCTGGGGAGTTGAATGGGGAGTCTTGGCAGAAACAGAGGGCAACAAGGCCTTTAGGAGAGAGAGCATTGCAAGACATTTTGGTTATGCATTACCACTTAGTGGTGTTGACAAAACGGGAGTTTCTTGCGAATGACTCCTCAAATGAGGTTACTGCCAATAATGAAGTTCAGTGGTCCTGCTTATGTCTCATTTCAAACCTATTGAATTCTGTCTTCTGCAGTGTGGGCCCCCAGTGGAGACCTTTATGTACATCAGTCAAATTTAGAAATCCCAAAAATACCCTTACCCTGGCCTTTTCTAATTTTTATTTCTTTTCTCCTCCTAGCTCCCTCCTGAGCACAGCTGCTGTGTTCCCTTCAGAAAGCATTCCAGGCTCCTCTGGTCTGCCTTTACTTAGGCCGTGTTGACACAGCCTTTGGAAACAGCGTGCAGTCCTTACAGCCCCTCTGAAAGTCTGTTTTCAGAGGAAGTTGAGGGCTGAGAGAGGCAAAGAGCCTCTTTCTCCCTCACCTGCCCATTGCCCAGCTGAAACCTTACCTGGAAGTCTTCCTCTGTGTGAAAAGGCTGGAGCATACAGCTGGGGCCGGGCAGCTTTTTTGTCAGCAATTAGAGCTCTGGCTCCAGCTTCTCCACCTCCCCTAGGTGGATTAGAAGAGCTTTTTAAAACAGACCTCTATCCTTGTCCATTCAAAAGTGATATTGGTTATTCAAAACTTTCCTAAAAGAAGCAGCTAACCTGGCTGGGAAGGGCAGACTGTGAGGTCCTTTAAGGAAGAGGAAGTCATAGGCCTTATCCTGGGAATCTGATCTGGCATCTCCATAGATGCTGATGCTCCAGGGGCAAAATGCATTTAGCAAGAAAATGAGGCGGCTGACTCAAAAAAACCATTCAAAAGAAACCAGCTGATATGCAAGGTGTCTCAGCAACCTGCCTGGACAGCTGCTAATACTATGGTCTGTTTCTTGTCCTCTATTTAATGGGCATGTCTGATCGCTGCTAAGCTCCCTGTAACATCTTCATGCACTGTGTTTCTCAGTAACAGAAGCTTGTGTGTGTTCGCTTTCAAAAGAGTCTGCAAAACTTGTTTCTGGTCACAACTGAGCTCTTAACTAATTTATCTGACTTTCCAAGTTTTCGCTCTCTCTGAGCTTTACTTGATAGCAGTCTATTTCTTTGGAATCTTAAATAAGGTGTGATACAGGTGTGGCTCTAACGTTTTCCTTTTGCTTCCCCTGCACGTAGGATTTCAACAAGTATTAAAGAATTGGAAAACTTCAGGAACATCTTACGAAATATGCAGTGAATTCATGTGAAACAAAGACTTAAACTCTTACTGTTCAGCTGCCCTGGGTTCTGTAAAAACAAGCAAACGCCCATGGTTTCATCACACTCCTGAAGACGACAAGGTGAAGACCACTGCTAGACCTCCTGCTCCCAACTGATTTGTCTATAATCTGCTGATGCCAAATACTTTGTACAAAAAAGCTACTTTTTTACAAAGTGCAGGGACTACATGTAAAGTTTGTTTTATATATTGGAAGATTATTTTGGATAACTTTAAATATTGATACGTCATGTTGATGGATGAGACTGATCTCTTTGCCTTCAGAAGCTGGAGGTAGGGCTAAAAATGTGACATTGAATAAATTTGGGGATACAAGATACAGCTGTGTGTTAGGGCACATGCTTTTTCCTCGTCTGCTCTGTGATTCCAGCCCTCATTTACAGTGTCTCTACAGGAACTTTCTACTGGGCAAGAAAGGAATGCCCAGTGGTGACAGCAAGGGCTGTCTGCTGCAGCGTGCTTGCAGGAGCCACCTGTGCTTCAGGGCTGCTGCAGGACAAAGGTGCCTTGCTCTTACCGGTGAAACTTTCTCATGGCAACGAGGCTGTTCCTGATCGTCTTTGCTGGGTTAACCCTGCTCCATGGAAGGCTTTGGATTGCAACTTGGCTGTAAGGCTGCTGCGTCCCTCACTGGGGACTGAGTGCTTTCAGACAGCAGCAAAGAGGTGGAAAACTGAGGTCTGCCCTGACCCTGCTGTTCCCTAGCCCTGAAGCTTTTTACGAGTGTGCCTTGACTCATGCGTAGAGTTTAAATTTCCTCCAGCTTGCCACCGGCCTGATGTAGTTGTCCTTGGGCTTCCCTAGAATAACCATTGTCTTGGACAGAGCAATGTGAGTCAACACAACAGGTTTGATCTGCTGGTTGCAGCCCATGCTGTTCTGCACGTTCCTCAGCAGAGCTGACAGTTCGGGCTGGTGCTGCAGGGGGAGCAAGGAACGTCCTTCATTGGTGAAGGCAATCAAAAATGAACCACACAGCAGCACTCTGAAGGAGTCCTGCTGCTTACAGTGAGGTTAGCCTAGTGCTTTTTGTCTTAGGTCAAGTCCTAAGTGAACAACCGAACTGGCCCCTCTGCTGCCTGGACCCCGGCCTCTCCCAGGTAACACTTGCTGTACCTTACAAAACAGCCCGGTTACTTTACCCACCACAGATATAAATGGTAACTCTTAAGCAGTTCTGGCAGGGCAAATGCATCGTGTGTAGTGCTCTCAGAAGAGCAGCCACTAGGCGCTGTCACTAAACTCTGCTTTTCCACAGGGCAGGGGAAGAGTGCTTGGATGAGTGAGGAGCCCTGGGTCGTGCCTGGTGCTGTGAAGGGAGGCTGACCAGCTACATTGTGCCTGCCAGGTGTTTGGCCTCTTCTCTGGCAGGGGGCAGCGGCTAAAGCCACTTTTTCTGAACTTTATTCCCTGTTTTTGCTTCACTGTTTAGAGTGGTGACAGCTAAGGAGTGAGGGGAAGGGACTGAAGTGGTAAGTAGCTTGGGAAGGGAGGGAGCAGCAGCATAAGCTCTGGAGGGAGAGTAGCGGTAGATACAGTAGAGAGGAGGGCAGAAATGCACAAAGATAGTAATAACTAAGTGAGCGCTGTGCTTTTCCTAATGGAAGATGAGTTCTCCTAAGGGAACAAGAAGGTGGGTACACAGTGAAGTGAGGCAAATGTAGGGCAAGCAGAGCCACCTCTTACCTCACTTGCTATAGGGAACCAGAGATGCAAGAAAACACGGGGCTTTTTTGCTCTGCTTCTAGCCAACATGTGAAGACACCCACTCCCATCGCCTTATTTAGGGCAAGGGGAGCTAGAAGTTGGCCTCATCTCAGCCACCCTCACCTGTTAAGTGGGTAACAAACAGATGCCTCAGTAACCTGAATTATGGCAAGTGCTAGGACCCTTTGGCCTTCCTGCCCCCTCCCTCAGCCTGTTAAACCCAGTTTGCCCTCATTTGGGATCTGTCTGTCTCATACCAGTATCCAGTCAGGGCTAAAAAGGGAAAGGACATACCCAACACGTGGCTGCTGCTCCTCAGAGGCAGCTCAGAGCTACTCAGTGGCTCAAGCGAAGTTGAATTTTGCCGCTCCAAGGACAAGAAGCTGGGGAAGTAGGACAGAGAGCTGCTGTGACAAAGCAGAGGACCCTTCCCTTCCCTCCCCTTGCCAGGCACAGCCTCCTTCCTTCCCCCCAGCCGCAGGTGCCTGCCTAGCGCTGGCAAAATAAGGGGCAAGGCATCCTGGCTCTGCTGCCAGGTTGGTCCTGCAGGCCAGGAGCCAGCCCTGATTACACGATCAGCCTTCGCAACAGGGGCAAAGGACAAGATCACACATGCTCAATGCTATCGGAGAGCACAACAACCGCAGCCCAGCCCTGTGCAGCAAGGGAGTGTAGCAGCCCCCATCGACAAGGCTATTTTTCCACCCCGGAGCCTCCAAAATGCAGTGTGGAGGCAGGTACTGCTGTACATAGACAAAGACACAGCATGTGCTCTGGCTAGGCCACTTCTGTTTGCAGCAAGCTCAAGGCCGCATCGATAAACCTGTGCCAGTATTTCAAGGAAATAAAGGCAACAGTGAGTTACGTCAACTGGGGATGTCACCTCCTGCACAACTCAGTGACACAGAGGGTGCTGAATAGCTCTCAGTTAAAGAAAGACCAGAGCTTGAGAAAGGGACCGTCGTGAGAGCCCAAGGCCAAAACACCAGCAGTTTGTGTGATATGACACAGAGGCAGGGCTCCTTTTTCACATTGTGCTAGGATAGCACTCAAAACAGCCCAAACTGAGACAGAGCTCCCTGCGTGCCTGGGAGCTGGTGGGTGGAAGCAAGAGAAATCAGCAAAGGGGAGAAAGGACCGCATGAGCTGGGCACAGAGGGAGCACCACCTCCCTCTGGGCCACAGAGCCCAGAAAAAACAGCAGAACATAAAGCACAGCGTGAAGGCAGATGGAAGGAAAGCTGCTCTGCCCTCTCCACCCTTCAGCCAAGTCCCAGAAAAACCACAGTTGTAAAGGGGAGCTGCAGGACAGGACACCATTGGAAAAACCATCGCTGGGCTTTCTGCAGCAGTAGCCACCCAACCAGATTTAAGCCCAGGCAAGTATTTGCAAAGATGCTGCAGTCCCACCACAGCATTCTGGTTCACGGCAGCCATTCGATGGCTAGGAACAAGCTCAGCCGGGTCCAATTCAGCACTTGGACCCTGTCAAGAAGCAGTTTTAATGAGTTACCAGGCATGTCTTTGCAGAGCTGTCACATCGTCCAGGCGTCCCGTGCTGGCATAGCCAACCAAGCCCCCGGCCAGGGACAAGGAAGAGGGACTACAGTACCAAGTCTGGAGCTGGCAGGGTTGAGTCACAGCAAGAGCAAAACTCAGCCAGGCCTCCAAAAGTAGCACAGAAATTTTTTTTTTTTTTATTTCAACATAGTAGTGCTTGGTTACAGTTTAGTGAAGAACAAATAGGTACATTCATTGGCCACAGCTTCCTGTTGCAGCCAGCTGCTGCCTGACTGCAAAGCCAAAACACTGTTAAACCATACCAAAAAAAGAAAGTTTAATGAAAGGCAACTATGCATTAAAAAAGTCATTGTACTTTTGAGCTATAAATTACTTCAGTAAAACACAAGACCAGCTCCAACACGAGCTGTCAGAGTTTTGAAATTAACGGCCATCCGTACAAATGAACAAAACCAAAACACTTTGCCAGTCACTCATGAGTACACTTAGCAACGAGACTCACTGCCCCAACCTGTGATCCTAATGCCAGGAAGATCATATTGTTGTTATGTGCTTCAGTGCAATATGAACAATGAGCCTGTAGCCCTTTAATTTTTAATTTTTATTTTTTTTGCACTACACTCCCTTCCCTCCAAAGAAAAACTTAAAGTGCTCCTAGTGCTTTGGAATTTAAGCAAGAACAGGGGCCACTAGCGTCACTTACTGTCTTTGGTGACATATGGGAGAAGGGCAATGCATGGAGTCCAGGTCCTTTGTTAGCTTTGCCATAAGACAAGCAGTGATTGAGATGGAGCAACCTGTTTCTGTATCCCAACGGGGGCAAGAGGACAGATCTCTTACAACATGTAAAATAAACCAGCCAGGAAAGCCACAGCAGTCATGGTGGAGCTCTCTGGTTCAACAACGAGAGCAAAAGGGATGTGTTGAAAGTCATTGTCTCAGAGCCTTTTCTAAACGGAAGCAGAGGTTGCTCCATTTTTGGGGCAGCAAGAGTGAAGCAGGTTAGCATGTACAGGCTCACGAGCCAGCACAGCCCAGGACCAGGGGAACAGGCAGAGGGACATGGTGTTTTCAGTGTGACAAGTGACATCTAGCTCAGTAAAGCAAGGTGGCCAATCTGGTGACGAGGACACACTAGTAAGCACACAGCAAGTGAGAAAAGGTCAGAGCTGTCCCAGCACTTGCAGCTTCTCACATGCAGCTGGAGACACTGAGGCTGCCTCAGAGTACCTCCAGCACCCAGCCCCACTGCACAGTGTCCCCAACCCACAAAGCCAGGCCAGCCTAGTACCACTCCATACACAGTTGAGTCCTTGCCCCAGGAGGATCTGAATTCAAGCTTTCAGTGTTAGACTTGCTTGTTTGAACAGCAGGAGCAGCTCCAGGCAGGTTAAGCAGTTCCAGTTCAAGTTTTCACTGAGAGGTCAGAGACACAAGAGCAGCTGTCCTCCCTGGACCAGTGTCTCCATCCAAGCATGTCTCCAAAGCCGCTTTGCTCATGCCCGCACAGGACTCATACAGAGACAAGCCACAAGTAACATGAAGTCTTAAACGCAGAGTCTAGTCTCCAAGAGCCTACACAGCTATGGGCCAACTCTAAACTTGCCTGTTTCAGCTAGTCAAAGAGAAACAGAAAGCAACTCTGAAACCAACATCCTCCCAAACTGTGACCTAGCATATTCAAACCCAGTGTACACCATTAAGCACTGCTGACAGCTACTGTGGTAGTAGAACCCCAGCCCAGGTCCTGTGGCCTGCTCAGCGGCATGGGAGAGGGCAGCCATGGAGATGTGGGAGGGGAACAGACCCCCAGGGACTAGTTTTCCTGCAGCTTTCCCCCTTTCCCCTCACAGCACATGCTGCCTCCACGAGCAGAGCCCTCTTCTACCTCAGTGGGGACCTTGTAGGTTCACATTTGCTCAGGTTAAAAAGCTTGGTTATCTGCTAAATGCAATTTAATACTGGGGTGAAAGAGGAGAAAATAGGACAGCTTTCACAACCCATTGGTTAAAGTGGTCAGTTTTACATGCACTTTGGCCAAATATGTTTCTATATATATATATACACACACACACACACTCATACTGAGCCAGTCCCAGCCCTAACCTTCCTGGAAGAAGCCAACCTATGAAAGTCTTGACACCCCCCCCGTACACTTGACAGCAGCTACAGTCCCAGCCAGCCTTCTTCCTTTGCCATAATCTAGTGGGCTGGTTAAAATTTAATGATCTTATTGCCAGCAGGAGCACTTGATCTCGGCTATTACAGGCCTTTGCTATGGGTATGCTTTGAGCTCAGCTTTGAACCCACACTCCTCAGCAGGGTAGTTCAGCAATCAGGTGGAACAAGGACTAGCAGTCAGAGCAAGACCACACTCAGCCCAGAGGCATCAGCCCTGCAGGGTGTGAATATGGCACAGTATGCTTTAACATTCATTGCAGGAGTCCCTGCCCATAACACACTCAGTTAACACAGAGCATCACACTCAAGTGAGTCAGGATGCAGAGTACTTCATGGAACATGTCTAGAAGCTCCAGACTTTGCAGGAAGACAGTGCCTCTCCCAGCTATGGATGTGCAATTAAAAGAGTAGCTAGAACAGTCTCAGACCAAGCAGTCTGAGCAAGATTCATTCCTTCCAAGTGTGCAGATAAAAGTGCAAATATGCATTTGATGTTTCTTTTCTAGTGAGGAAGCTCAGGTGCATTTAGCTGCCAACAACTTGAAGACCAGACCAAGAAAAAGCTTCCAGAGAGTTCAGCTTCACTTTGCTACATGGTACCTTAAAAGTCACAGTTCTCTTACTGCCTGCAGCCATAGCTTCAGTCCTGCTTACAGCTGCAGCAGGTAGTGGAATGTTTGTGTTGATGAGTTAGATGCTTCAGGGAAGAGGAAAAGAGAAAAACAGATTACAATCCTATACATGAATGCCACTTTGGGGAAGAAAGGCCCCTTCCAGCCTCTTCAGTTCTGTGGTGCAGGGCATGAGCTATGGTGATTGTTCAACTCCGAGCCGCCTGCAGCAAAGAGCAAGGGGTCACTGTCTGTAGTAGTTCCGCTGAGATGGGGGCCCACTGTGAAGCTGTCATTCCCAGCCAGGGACCCATAGCAGCCAGAGCACTGAGGGGTGGCCAAGCTGGGAAGAGAGACAAAAAAACCAAACATGGACTCTCAGAAATGGACAATTTCTTAGTTTGGAGACTGCTGCTAGTCTGCACAGCTAAGCAGGGCATTTAAGTCTGGATGTCATAAGTCGGAACCTGCTTCTGCAGATATCATGCTTCCAAGGAACCTGGCTTTAAAGAAAAAAGTGAAAAGTGCACCAGCCCCTACAAAATTGGTCAAGAGCAGCCAGAGCCTTCAATTCCTCACTAAACTGCTGGGGCACGAGAAGCTCAGATCCCTGAGCAACAAGTAAAAGACAGGGCTGCCAGGTTTCCCTTACAGTTTAGCTGGAGGCACCAGACCATTCCTCCCCCATCCATGTCTCTGTAGAGCTTTGTCCCAGATGGTTTCCAGGGGACATCCTCCCAGACCTCCAGGGACTTCACCTCACTGCTTTGCATTACCAGTGGAGAGACTCCTCCGGAGGCCACTTGAGAGCCCTTCTCCCTTCACCAGCTAAGGAAGGATCCTAGCTGGATCAGCCTTCCCAGATGAAGGCCTCGTGTCTGCAGCCACTGTGCGCTTCTACCACTGTGCGCTCAGCATGATATCCACTTCTCAGAGCTGGTCACGTTTATCTAATGAGTGTAGCCCCTTGTGAGCTACAGAAGGGAACAAAACCAAGCTCAGTCAGAAGGTTCTTTGCCCCATCCACCTCGCCCAAGCTGACTTTTATGTCAGGATTTTTCTTGCGAACAGAAGCCAAGAACTGTTGCTTCCACATAAGACAGCAGAACAGCAGCTGAGCTTTTACACGCCCAGGACAATGCTTACCCGCCTTCTCTGGCCCCAAGCCGTGACAAGTCATCATCGCTGTCATAGCGCCTTGGATTGTCAAAGAAGTACGCTCTGGTTAAAAAGAAAGGAGTTAGGCCAGTAGCAAGGCATTTCTAGTTGTCTTCTTAAAGGTTTACCCCCACACCCCAGACACCTCTGAGCTCTCTCCCTGCACAGGGGTATTCAAGCTACAGCAACTTGCTCAGGCCTACCAAGTTCTGACTCAGTCTCTGAGCCCGGAAGAACAGCACCACAAAAGTCGTTGGCACCAGCTCCCAGAGGAAGAGGACCACTCCAAACACTACATATTCTTCACTGCTCACTTCCACATGCACCTGTGGACAGAAGCCAGAAGTCTGTGAATACCCCTAGCCATCAGCACAGCTCCAGAGCTCCAGAAACTGGACACTGACACAGCATAAGGATTTCTCCGCATTCCTAGTTCTCCTGTGAAGGCAGAAATCCAAGCCAGAGTAGCAACCCCTTTCTAGCCCCTACTGTCTCCAAGGAGGAATGGTAGTTCTTCAGTGTGCTACCCAGGATAGTGCTAGCTCCCTCCCCACCCCAAAGACTCTCCCTTGCACACAGCCATGCCTTTTTAAGCATGGCTTCTCTGCTCCAGTTGACTTGTTCCTCCTCTCCCCCAATAAAAGATCTGGCAGGGTCTAAAATTTAAGAGCACAACAGGGAATCCCTCCTGAAAAAGCAGCTGAACTGAAGATTCAGGCTTGCTCTGGTGGACAGAACGAACAGGGCTTCTGAAGGTAGAAATCCAGCTCATGTGAGGATACAGAGAAACCAACACCCCATATAGCTCTTTCCCCTATACATTCCCTTTTACTTCATTACTAGCTCTGGATTGGAGGTTACACACAGACACTTACCTTGTCTGAAAGGTTGTCCCAGCCATAGTTAAAAGGACCAGGAACATTGTCTGGAGATATGGCCACAGCTACCAGGTTGTAGCAAGCCCTTGAGGAATAGAGAAGAGCAACTACAGATCCCACAAGAATAGCCTGGCAGACAGATGTTCCCTAGGACAGAAAGAAAAACAGTTTTAATGCAAACTTTCCGCAGAGCTGTTTTTTTTAAAAACAGAATCACAGCACGCTTGAGGTTGGCAGGGACCTCTGGAGATCATCTTGCCCAACCCCCCTGCTCAAGTAGGGTCCATCTAGGGCATGTTGTACAGGACCACATCCAGGCAGGTTTTGAATATCTCCAGAGAAGGAGACTCCACAACCCCTCTGGGCATTTTAAATGCATGAGAAGCTGTGCAGACAAGGCTGACCTAGAACATTTGTATGTTACTGCTCAGATATTGAGAGCTGGTTAAGAGCTTCCTTATGTGATGAGTTGCAGTAGCAGAGCTATGCTGCCAGCGTCCACCTGGGAGCAGGAAAGGCTCAAGGCAGGGGAGAGTCATTCTCAGGGTGTTGTTGATAGACTACACCTAGCAAAGTTATTTCAGTAGTCAGCTTCAAACTTGTGGCCTTTCTGTGGTGGCCTCCAGAAGACCGATCAACAGCCATTAAGAAAGTCATCCTGCTGTTTCTACACCCTGACCAAGCACAGACTCTACAGCAGTGATGCCCACATTGCTCACTTACCCTGCAGACACTGAGCATCCCAGATGTTGAACGTGCCCGTGTCTAAGAAAGAAGCCTAGATATGTGGGGTGGCAACTTTGAAAAAAGGAAGGAGGACCTGGTCTCAGAACTTCACTGCTGCTGTGGGACAAGGCAGACTTTGTTGTACACAGAGCAGCAAGCTATGAGGTGACTGGATGTTGAGGGACCTCTGCCTTCTGTTAGCTGTCTTATGCTGGTGAAGACCTTTCTAGAAGCAGGCCTGTCAGAGGGACAACTGCCATTAGGTACATCTCCTGCAGAACTAGCCATAGGAATGGGAACGTTATAGAAACACTCACAGACCTTCAGGCAGTGTTATTTCTTTGCTGAGTACACCTGTGAAACTGTTTAATAGCTATTGGTAGGCACTAAGTCACCGCACGGTGGAAACTAGTAAGAGGTAAACAAATCTAAGCAAGATGCAGTTGATTTTACACTATATGTAAATAGATAATCCGCTCAGGAACCTCACCTTATTCACCTATTCCACATCCAAACTATGGGTATGCTAGCTCCATTTTCCTAGTTTTGGAGAACGAGCTCAAGATATGGTCTTGGAAGAGCCAGCTGGAAAACACACAAGTCCCTGTGACACCACTGAAGCACAACAACACAGCCCGCTCCAGTGCTGTCAGCTGAGTCCTTGGTATTCAGGGCAGCAGAATTAGAGACAGAAAGGCTAGTGAAGCAATAGTCTCCAGCAGGCAACGACCATAGCATAGGACCTGGCAACAACCCAATAGCAGAGCCTGCTTCTCAAATGGCTCTAAAACCTTCCCACATTCAGTCTTACTGGGCCCCCTCCAGCCTTGCTGGGCT